CTCCATTCTCCTGGTTGAATAACTTCTCTGTTCAGAGAGTCTGCTATGGTGTTATTCACGCCATGTAGGTACAGGAGTTTTAGACCTAACAGTTGTTTCTGAGCCAGAATCATGATTGGTTCTATAGCTGAAAGAAGACATTTGCTTTTGGTGCCCCCCTGATGATTGACATAGGCTGCAACTGCCCTGTTGTCTGTCCGAATCAATTAGCATTTTCTCTGTAGATCTGGAAGAAAATCTTTCAAAACTTTGTGGATGGTTATTAACTCTTATGTTGGAATGTAGTTTCTTCTCCCTCTGAGACCAAGTTCCCTGAGTCCAGGTGGATCTGAAATGGGCTCCCCAACCTTTGAAGATGGCATCTGTTGTATTACTGATCCAAATTGGAAGCCCTTTCTGGAGATTGTGATGAGATAGCCCCCACCTTAGATGGTTCTTTATATGTTGAGGAATCAAGATTTCTTGGTACCAATTGTTCTGTATTTTTTTTAATTGAAGAAGGAAATTCATTTGAATTGATCTTGATTTTTACTGAGCCCATCTCACCAGATCTATGGTAAAAGTGAAGGATCCTAGGCGACTCATAATCTCTTGCTGATGTGGATCTCCTCTTCAGAATTTCAGAATTTTATCTTGAATGTGGGAACTTCGGTCTGAAGAGATATTTACGATGCTGTCATGGTGTCTATCTCTGCTCCCAGATAGATAATCCGGTGAGATGGGATCAGAGAACTCTTTTCCATATTTACAATCCAACCATGTTTTTGGAGACATTGAAGAGCCATATTTGTGTGAAGTACTGCCTTGTTGAAGGACTCTGCTACTATAAGGATGTTGTCCATTAAATATCCTCAAACCACGGGTTCTTAAGATGGCAATCAGCGTCACGAGGACCTTTGAGTAAGTTCTGGGGGCTAAACACATACCGAAGGAAAAACCTTTGAACTGGTAATGCTTGCCAAAGATGAAAAATCTCAGTAATTTAAAGTGTAGTGGATGCACTGGAATCTAATAATAGGCATTCCTGAGAACTGTTGGGGTGATATCTTCATGTCTAATCGACTGGATAATTGAAGAAATTGATTCCATTTTGAAAGACAACTTTTTGAGTTCCAGATTTATTTCCTTTAGGTCTATTATGAGTCTCCACTTGTTTAGTTTTGGAGCCTGGAATTGAACTCTTTTTTCCAATGACCCCTTCTTGGACCTGCGCACCTTCATACATTTTTAGATGATGTGTGAAATCCTCTCTCTCTTGCGGCTCTACTGCAGAAGAGGTTGTGGGCTGATAGTTCTTCTACGTGGAATATCTATTATATTCCCTCCCTGGTCTGTATGATCTGCTTTCACAAAATGACCGGTCTTTATAGCTTCTTCCTTTTGATGAAGAATAAATAGGACACCTTTTCTCCTGTGGAAGAAATGCTTTCTTACTATCAGCCATTTTTAAAATGGCCTCATATAAGACCTTCCCAAATAGCAGTTCTCCTTGAAAAGGAAGTAAACACAACGATGACTTGGATGCATAATCTGCTCTCCAGGCATGGAGCCAGAGAGCCCTTCTAGATGCCACAAATAAAGCCATGCTTCTTGCCAACATTCTCGTGATATCAAGGGAGGCTTCTGAAAAGAAATCTGCAGCGATTCTGAAGTCTTTAAGATTTTTTACGAGGATTTCCCTTCTTACTCCACTGGAAATGTCATTTTCCATATTGTTTATCCATACCTTGAGGGATCTAGATATAGTGATTATTGCAATAGAAGGATGGAGAGCTTTACTTAAGGCTAAATATGCATTATTTTTTTCTCCATTGGCTCATGAAGATATGCTAGAGAGAGTCTGTAGGTTTTGTAGTACGCTTTGCCATTTGGATTACTGCTGCATCTATTTTAGGTACAGAGTTTCAGCATTTGGAGTTTTCAAAGGAGACCGGATAAATTCTAGAAGCCTTATTTTTTAAGGTAACCTTATTTTCTGTTTTTCTCCATTCTTCCTGTATTATATTCTTAATAGAATTATGAACTTGAAATGAAGACCTTGATGGTTCCAACTCCTCAAAATATCTTTCAGATTCCAGACATTCAGATTTTTCCTCCTGGATTTTCAAGGTATCTTAAATAAGAAGAATCAGCCTGTCAACCATTTTGGAGTCTATACTTTTCTGATATATTTTCTCCTCATCTTCTTCAGAGCATACTGCTTCATATTATGAATTTGAGCTTGATTCTGAAGAAATTGTCTAAATTTTATAGCGTTTAGTCTGACCCATGCTTTTAGCTTTGGCTTTAAAACCTTCTGCAATAGCTTGGGAAATCCAAGCCTTGAAGAGATGTTATTTTAGTATTTTCTTCAGCAACCTCAGTTAGTAGTGATGTCCCGAACGGTTCGCCACGGACAGCGAACATGTGCGCTGTTCGTTCCGCCCCCTATGTCATCATTGAGTAAACTTTGACCCTGTACCTCACAGTCAGCAGACACATTCCAGCCAATCAGCAGCAGACCCTCCCACCTCCTGGACAGGATCCATTTTAAATTCATTAGCTTAGTGAGCTGTCCAGGAGGTGGGAAGGTCTGGGAGGGAGGGTCTGCTGCTGATTGGCTGGAATGTGTCTGCTGACTGTGAGGTACAGGGTCAAAGTTTACTCAACTCACCCTTGCAAATAAACACAGACCAAGTTGACCTGTGAGTCTGTGTACGGGGGCAGTGCAGGGAAATAACTCCAAGTCGCAGTACAGGCAAGGACAAGCAGAAGAGTAGTGGGGGAAAGCCAAAGTCAGGGGAAGCCAAAGGTCAGAGAAAATGAGGAGAAGAGAAAGGTCAGGAGCCAGGAACAAACTGGAGAACACACAATCTGGATATGCAGAAACAGGAACCAAAAATGTGAACCAGAGTCAATGAACCGACAAAGTTCCCAGGGTGAGGCAGTGCTTATATACCCAGCTAATTAATGATCTGCTTCAGGTGGGCTAGATAGACAGGCGCAACCACAGGTTAAGTCCAGCACCCTTGCTGGAGACAATGAGAGGATAACCATTAGCTAGAAACAAGAACTGAAGTGTGGCCCAAAGGCAAGACAGCAGGGCTAAGGCAGAAAGAGTCCAGAGTTCAAATCCCCTGTTGAGCACTTCTAGATGTCATGGTGAGAACCATGACATGCATTTGATACATTGATTCTTGCCTTCTGGTGCTGTTTGATTACAGCCCACACATTGATTGCTCTTCTCCTTGTATTTTCTGTGAGATCTGTACTGGCTTCTACTTGGGCTGCAACAAGAATAAAAGGCCATCCAAATATGTGTGGGCCCAATTTGCTCTCTTTTATCCCCAACCTAATTATTGTATAATTGGCTCACCTTGGGTTTCTAAATAATGAGTGTCTGGAGGCGGAAGGAGATGCCATACTATAGAGAGAGAGAATTTTTTTTTAGATTTATTACAGGAAAAAACTTCATCTCCAGCTGGCATTTACACCAATAAGGTACTAACCTGGATATACCAAAACTTTTTCACAGGCAGCCACAGAAAACTTGCTTCAGTTCTACTGAAGAAAGAACCAAATTAAACAAATAGGCACGAACAGCAACGCCAAGGCACGAAGAGAAACCAAATCCTGAGTTAGCTAGTGAAAAGACTAGACTGAAGAATGAAAAACCACTAAATAAATAAACGAATGAATGCGCATTCTTGCGAACAGGACTCCGACGAGTTTGCACCAATTTACACGAAAGGCTATATAAAAATCCATGAAAGGAGCCAGCTAACAATTAGAGGTGCATACAGAAAGGAGCACATAACACAGGTAAGGAACTGAATGCATTCAATAAAAAGGAGGCGAATTTACCTGAACGGATAATATTCAAAAAAGCAGACACTCTTTGTAGACACTCTTTGTATGGGGATAGCGAAGTAAACACACTTTTTTCTAAAATTTTTTAAAAATTTCATTTGGAGGCTGTGTGAGTTAAAGCCAGGGGAAGTGTCAACACATTGATTTAACTCCTAAATGGCAAAGAAATGAGCAGTGAGACAGCAGGGGCAAGATCTGTAAACCAAAACTGCTTTATTAATCTACAGTTGTGTTGACATTTAGAGTATCACTTTAGAGCAGGGGTTCCCAACCCAATGCTCAAGTACCTCCTACTAGACATGTGCAATTCGTTTCGGTACGAATATGAATTCAGAAAAATTTCGGGCAATTCTGACATTCGGGTACTTCCTAATGTCCGAATTTCCAAAGTGTCGAAGTGCTGAAGTTCCGAAGTGCTGAAGTGCCAAAGCTCCGAAGTTGCCGAAGTGTCAAAGTGCTGAAGTGCCGAAGCACAGCATTGCCTAAGTACTAATATACTTACCCAGTGGAAGAAGAATGTTACACTGTATACAAGTTTAAATAAAAAGTATACAAACATAGCCAGGATTCAGCTGTAAGCATTTGCAACACTTATATCAAATGTAAGTTACTTAGCCTGTCAATGGAATGACAGGAATGAATAAGTAGATAACTCCCTAATTCCCACGGTATTAGGGAGCTATCTACTAAAAGGCTGAAAGATCTGAATTGGTCTTTCAACCAAATTTACTTATACTAAGTAAAAATTACTTAGTATTAGTAAATTATGCCCCTACTCGCTATAACGCGAGTAGGGGCATGTCTATTAAACAGTGCTCACTGTAAAAAAAATGCCCCCCCTACCAAGCCCCATCTGTGCCGCACGGGTGGGGGCTTCTAACCTGAAGGGGGACCTATTGCCCTCCCCAGCCCCCACCCCTGAACGGCGGGTGGGGGCCCTAAAATAAAATAAGGGGGGACCTATTGTCCTTCCCCCGGCCCCCACCCATGAGCAATTGGTGGGGGCCTAAATTAGAATAAGGGGGGGGACTTATTGTCCCCACGGCCCCCACTACTGAGCTGCGGATGGGGGCCCTAAAGTAAAATAATGGTGGGGGCCTATTGTCCTCCCCCTGGCTCCCACCCCTGAGCGGCGGGTGGGGGCCCTAAATTAGAATGAGGGGGGGACCTAATGTCCTCCCCCCTGGCACCCAGCCCTGAGCGATGGGTGGGGGCCAGGGGGGAGGACATTAGGTCCCCCCTAATTAGTATTTAGGGTCCCCCCCATTATTTTACTTTAGGGCCCCCACCCGCCGCTCAGGGGTGGGGGGCAATAGGTCCTTCCTTATTCTAATTTAGGGTCCCCACCCGTTGCTCAGGGGTGGGGGACGGGGGGCAATAGGCCCCCCCTTTAGTTCAAAAGCCCCCACTCGCGCGTCGTGGGTGGGGGCTCGGGATGGGGGACCCTTTTTTTAAAAATTTTTTTTTTTAACAGTGAGCAGCCACAGGCTGCTCACTGTTTACTAGACATGCCCCTACTCGCGGTATAGTGAATAGGGGCATAATTTACTAATACTAAGTAATCTTTACTTAGTATTAGTAAATTTGGCTGAAAGAAAGTTCCGAAGTGTCGAAGTGCCAAATTGCCGAAGTCCCAAATTTCGGAATGCCAAACTGAACCGAAAATTTTTCCCATGCACATACCTACCCCCTACCAGTCCAGGATTTTGCGATTACCCTGTTGTGTCTAAAGTGTTTTTTCTTTCTTTCCAGAAACACCTTAGACACAGCTGGGTAATCCCTATATCTTGGACTGTTAGGGGGTACTTGATGGCACTGGGTTGGGAACCACTGCTTTAAAGCATTGCAGTATTTGAATAACAAAAATGTAGGCAAATAGGTACGGTACTTGGTTAGCCTGTGGCCTGTGTGGTTGCATTTCATTGGTGTGCCCCCTTATCCTACAAGCAGTGACAGAATTCAAGTGGCACTGTCATGTTTTTTTTCTTTAATTTTTACTTTTCTTTTGTATCTTAATGATTATAAAACCCCTCTGCCACATTACCCACAGCCTCATCAGCCATTAAAAAAAAAAAAAAAACCTTTTGTGAGTAATGTGTAATGTGTAAGAATGTGTCAATCTGTGAGTGTGCCTTTCAGTGTGTGTGTCTGTCAGTGTCTGTCTGTGAGTGTGTATGTGTGTGTATCTGTCAGTGTCTGTCAGTGAGTGTGTGTGTATCTGTCAGAGTCTGTGGCGAAACCAACCTTACCACTGGGCATTGGAGAAGAATGATTGCCAGCCTCCTGCCATGTGACTATGGCCCCTGGGATGTATTGCCCTTTAAAGACATGATTTGGGCATAATGGATTTGTGTTGTGCTGCTGCTGGCCCTTTAAGAACCATCTGGGGATATACTGTGGAGTTACTGGGTGGCCACCATTTCATGTATCAGAGGTACATGGTGAGAACAATGGATGAAGCACATGGTGAGAACAATGGATGGCGGCCATTTTAACTCACAGACACTGTTTGGACTTTTCTACATGGTGCCATCTCGCCGGTATTTGGTGCACAAAGACATTGTGCAGTAGTTTTAAACTATACAACAGGGGACACATTAAACAGTAATTATTTTTCATATAGCCTGTATATGTTCTGCGGAATCTGCATTAAACAGTATCTTCCAAACTACAGAACGGATCTGGGTGAATTTTGGATTTGTGGTTCACCCAGATCCCCCGGTTCCGAGGATATACTTTTTATGGGGTTATTGCATGTTTTGGGGTCCCTGTGATATGTTTTATAATACTGTATTTTGTGGATTTTGTGTGGGAGTGTCTGTGTGTATTGTACGGATTGATTGGTTGTATTTTAAAACCCTGTGGGCAGTACTATGTTTGTAGAATGTGAATAAAAGAGGCTGTATGTGCCAGTACAGTCCGTTCTACTTCACCCTCAATTTGGAGTGCCGTCTCTTATTGGGGGACTCTGCTACAAGGGATTGCTATGCTTGTCATACTCCCTTGCTAAATCACTACGAAGCTCTTCTAAGAGCTTGTTCCTGTCCTGCTCTCTGAAGGAGTCCATGGTGGTTATTGTGTTGGCTGGAGTGCTTGGAGCCCTCAGGAAGCGCTAAGAGCATCCTTCAACGGACGTACCCAGTCGGGATGCCAGGTGATCCGTTACAGAGTCTGTCAGTGAGTGGGTATGTGTGTGTATCTGTCAGTGCACACAATTTGTTTTGCCTAGGGCAACCATAACTCTGGTTACCCCTCTGCTGGGAATTGTGCATCTTCCTTGCTGTCATGATCAGGGTATAGAAATAATTTACCCTTTATAGTAAGACAATGATCCAGACTCTTTGTATTACTTTGTTGATTTTCATGATTATCGTTATTTAAAGTTTAGAATTGTCTTTAATACTGTCTATTAAATATTGGCTTCTTTAGTTTACAGCATGTTCATCACCAACCTACGTATGTCAGTATGTCATAATTCAGCTTTTCATGACAATCACATGTATTAGGATAATTATATGATTTTTTTTTTAGACTGATATAATTGTATTTTATAGGGGAGTCAGAAATATGCTGTTACACTCTTTATACACTTAAACAATTAAATGACTCGAGTGCAAGATGCAGACACTGAAGGTTGGTAAACTCTGTGCCCCAACCAGAGATGTACTTTTGAAAGCAAAATGCCAATCTATTTTAAAAAGAATGAGTTATGTATCCATTTGGAAGAGAAGTGATAACCAAAATTGATAGTATTCACAGAAAAATGACTATATGTCAAATGTTTTGAGTCTAATGAATATGTGTTACAAAAGAGTCACTAAAGCCATGGGGGGGTTTAAAGTTCATTTAACAATGATGTTCAGAGAGAAGGAATATCGTTTCCCTGAAGGACATGGCAACCCACCCTCTCTCCCCCTTTACCTGTCACCTGACAGCAAGGCAATATTAACAAACATGAAAGAGACGATGGTGACAGCTTCTATATACTTGAAAAAGAGCAGCAGCTCCCATTAGTGTTAGAGGAAGTAGAGAGTGAGGGGGGGAAATGGGCAAGTCTAGTGATATAATGAAGTGTATATGACGGACAGGCTGCTGTGCGAAGGAAAATATTAAATCCAAAAAGGAGGAGGTGATGGGGGGTCAGCAAGAAGATCACTCAAGAAATCGTGGATGAACTCCCTACCCATCCCCTCCCCTTAACCTGCACCATAACATCATACATCTAAAAACAAATTCTAGGCTTATCCTGTATTCTTCTAAAAGAAGTGTCATCTCACTTTGTAGTAGTAATAATGTTTAGATTCAGACGGAATTCTTCAAATATGCATGCGTTTGATTTGTGGAAGTATACCGCAAATTTTTGGAATGATACATGAATGTGAAAACAAATTCTTAATATACCAGTGGGCCTGTATAGTTTTAAAAGCAGTGTGGGATTTTTGTTTTGTTTTTTTAAAAATTGATTTTGCAAGATATAGCAAGCTTGCTTTATTTCGATTGAGCTTGAGACTTCGCAAATAAATGAAATGCGCCTTCATATCACGTGAGTAAAGGTATGTTTTAAAAAGAATACATTTTATAAAATAAAAACCTAACCAATATTATTCTCTGACTAACAAAGATATATTGACAACCACAGAAATTATTATTATTATCGCCATTTATATAGCACCAACAGATTCCGTAGCAATTTACAATATTATGGAGAGGGGGTATTTAACAATAAATAGGACAATTACAAGAAAACTTACAGGAACGATAGGTTGAAGAGGGCCCTGCTCAAATGAGCTTACAATCTATAAGAGGTGGGGTGTAAAACACAATAGGTGTGCTATGTCTACAGTGTCTTTCCCACTGACTGACTGACCCTCTTTCCGTGCTCATCAGTAGCTAACCTCTGACAAGATGTGAATATTGGAAACAGTAATCCAAAAATAGTTGGACTGTAGAGATTGTCAGTCTCCAATCAGAAAGAAACCATCTAATTAGGGCTGCAAGATTAGATTAATTAAGAGAAATCTATTAATCTTTAGCTCAGTAATGGAAACATAGTTATCTTTGTGGTCATTCAAATGCCTTGCTACTCAGTAGATCACAGACAAGCTACTTTTCTATAGGATGATTGCTATTGTCATATCCTATGCTCACATCACATCTACAAGTCATTTGATTTGCAGCAATACGAATAATTATGATATTTTTTTGGCAATCTTTATTTCAAGTGTTACTCCAACCACCACAACTATTTCAGTGATTTGAAGTGATCATGGTGGTAGGAGCCTGCATGTGCAGTGTTGAAAGACTGCACATTCAGATTAAATTGGCACTTCTGATGGTTGATTACACCCGTGGCACAGATTGCGTAAGAAGTCTGGAACTCTGTTTCAGGCTTCTAAATGTCAATTCTGTGCGTCTTTATGTCTGTTAGTGCGCACAGTGTGCTGGCAAGAGAGTAAAATCGTCTCCCTTGCAGGCGACGCGCCTCCAAGGAGAAGATTGCTTTCTCCTCCCTCCTTCTGTGCAGACCCTCCTGCCTCGTTCATTTGCTTTACTTACATTTTTTTTTTGTATTGAAATTCCCACTCTCCCAAAAGTCCTCCCTTCCCACTCTCTATTTAATATTATAAGAAAATAAAAATAACAATAATTAAATGAACAATAATAATAAAAAAATTGTGAAGTTGAACTTTGGGAAAGTATCCATCCAAATTTACTATATTTTTGTGCAATATTGATATGTCTATATTTATCGCTGATAATAAAACAATTCTAATTTATCTATGTAAAATTAATAAAATAAGTTTCTACAACTAATAATTTACAGTTTGAATATTTTCAATGAAGTGGTCTTGGTGCCAGGTCCATCTAGGGTTAACCCTGCCTGCTGTAAACATAGCAGTTTTTGCTATGTTTACTTTAGGGTTAAAGGACCACTATAGTGCCAGGAAAACATACTCGTTTTCCTGGCACTATAGTGCCCTGAGGGTGCCCCCACCCTCAGGGTCCCCCTCCGCCCGGCTCTGGAAAGGGGAAAAGGGTTAAAACTTACCTTTTTCAAGCGCTGGGCGGGGAGCTCTCCTCCTCCGATCCTCCTGCGTTCCTCCCCGTCGGCTGAATGCGCACACGCGGCAAGAGCTGCGTGCACATTCAGCCGGTCACATAGGAAAGCATTTACAATGCTTTCCTATGGACGCTGGCGTGCTCTCACAATGAGACAGCCGCTAGAGGCTTTGGGGGAAGGCTT